TATATATATATATATATATGTGTGTGTGTGTGTGTGTGTGTGAAATATAGAAACGCACGATACCGAAGCAGAAGCTTCTGTAGTCATATAGTTCTATCTGTCATAACACGTTGACCGACACAGCCATATTGACCTGGTGACTTTCCTGGGCAAAAATAAATGTTTACATCCCTTGGAGAAGGTGAAGCACGGGGAGCACCGGTGCGCCCCATGGCGCAGGAAGAGAGACTTAGTGAGGCCCACCGGTGCGCCCATGCGGAAAAGCTGTTAAATACCTTTTATATTTAGTGTTGAATGCGGCAGCAACATCCACCTCATCTCCCTACGCTGAAAATTTGTATTAGTACGTTCCAGGTTTCCTATGCCATGCAGAGTATTATGCTTCCATCATAATCCATGAACATCATTAACAATGAACGTTAGATGGAACTAACCTAATCATTCTCTGCATTGTAAAAATCTGACCGACGATACGACATGCTACACCGTCGAGGCAACGTTGATTGATAGTTTGCAAGAAGTCAGCAACTGTTACGGTTTGAACAGTTTGTACACAAAATGCTTTTTGTCTCGTTTTACCTTTCTCTACCAATAAAAGGAAATATTTCATGGATCATCAGAATTGAAAGCACAGTGTTCTTGAAGTTACATCTCAGCAGAATATACTTTAAAGGAAAGAGCATCCTATGCTGAGTGAATGGACTTTTCCAGAGGCAGGCGAACAGGTGCATAAAGTGAACTCTGGACATAATTTAGAGTTAAAATAGGTTTAAGTCATGTATAATACCACACATCACTTGATAGCACCATGAAATAATTTTTTTAGGTCTCGTGTTTAATGATCGATTTTTCTTTGTTGCAGTCTTTCGCCGCAACAAAGAGAATCATAGTTGCATGATGAAATGAGGGGTTTGAGTGAACATGACACCGGGATGCTGAACGCAGCGACAGCAAGCCGAAGTCCAGGAAAAGCAGAATCGCCTGAAACTGGCTGCATTTTAGCTAAAGTGGAGTTCAAGGACGATAATGGGTCTTCCAAAATCTCTGAAAAGCCACCTGAAAGTGATAAGTTTTGCCTGTTCCCAAAGCCATATCCATAGTATTCATGATTAAATGAATAATGGTTATCATAATACTCCATCTACTGGAACGTCATGCAGTTCTTGAGCATGCAGACGTATTAGAAAATTCAACAAATGAAAGTACGAGGGCATTATTTGTGCTGGAGGTACTCTGAACGTTTCTTGCTTGCCTACACTTCCTTCCAAAGCAATTCATACGCTTGCATCTCGCACCCTCGATGAGAAATGGAAAAGATGTATGTCAGAGGATTTTCAATGATGATGTGTTCAATATATGAAAAATTCTTAAGCGATATGAATATAAAGCATCTGATACAAAACCCGTTCTGAGAAACCATACTTTCAACTTACCCGTTGGGCTTTTCATCGCTCAAAGACCTAAGAACTTAGAAGGCCGTCGTGAACATGTGAAGAGGATAGGCATACTACTTATGGTAAAATCCTGCTGAGGAAGTCTGTAGGACGGGAAAAATGTTATTTAGTAGAAATAAAGGGAATAAGCGAACAGCCAATTTTATTTAAAAAAATGGAAGAACAACAAAAAGATCCATTGAACTACTGGAAGGATTTTTCCATTTTCATGGGTAAACCAATCAACCTCTTTCAAAATGCATTTCTGTCAGATGCAGTGTGAGAATTATGAGCATAGTCTGGAGGCGATGAATCCCTAAGTTTCAAAATTAACTTATCAAAATAATGAAGCTACCGGCTGCTTGATTAGTATGTGCATTCCCCTAACGAACTGTCATGCAAATAAAGTCGCAATAGCCTTTCCAAGCAAATCACTAGGAGCATTTTGACCTGCTAATCATGAAAAACTGAACGAGTTTCTTTTCATGTAGAAACATTAGGAAACCCATGCATACAATGGGGTCATTCCATGCAAATTCGACCAGACCGTAAGCTCGACCAGCACCAAATTAGACAAAAATATCCATACATGTAGCGGAATCGATTTAGAGAAATCAATTTTAGCCAATTTTTATATCTCCTACCAATCTCCTGATATATGCATTTGACTGGTGCCAATTTTTGGCTCCCTGTGCCCATACAGGAATTGTGAAGCTGTTTCTGCAATAAAGTTGCTTTTAATTAAGATAGAAGCTTCATTCTGGTGTCATTTTAATTGGTAAATCGCCATTTTTATATTGATTATATACAATATCCTTGAAAGATAAAACAAGAAATTCCACATGATTCAACGGTTTCATTATGTTCAATGTTGTAAGGCGACACTTGCCACCTCTGGAATTCTTCGTTCCAATAATTTATTCAAAAGCGCATGTTATGCCCTTTCTAAGGATTCCAAATTCGAGATTGGCACTCAACGGATTATGGAGAAATGGGTATTTGACTGATACAACGGTACCAAAATCTCCCTTGACGGAACAGTTTGACCAGTATCAGTGACCAATATGTGCACTTGCCACTCCAAGAAACAAAACTTGCAATACTCCATCAAATGGCGGATATTATAATGCCCTTTCTAGCGATCTCAAACTCTAGATACGCACTCAATATATCGCAGAGATATGACTATTTGACTGCAACAGAGCCGAAGGATTATGACTACCACTCATGGGTTCATGTAGGCTGACGGCCTGATCTTCGATCATACTATTTTGAAAAACTTTTCTTTCTCTGAATTTAAACATTTTTTATTATTTATATCACAACAATTTGCAAATTATTGCGCAAATGTATATATTCCACACATTTCCATCAGTATGTGTACTATTGCCGAACTAAAGAAGTTTGACTGTAATGACATACAGGTTCCGCTTGAAAATTTGACTCAAGATGAAAGGGTGATTCATACCCATAGAGTTTTACTTAGGCACCAATAAAGATTCAGCAGAGGTACTGTTTGAAGAAAAAAACACATTGGGACAATTGCTTTTGGCGCTATACCGACCGCCAGAAGTTTTGTTGTGACCCATGGAAGTCACACATGAAGAGAGCTTCCATGAAGGACCGTCGGTCGCTGAAACTGGTCAATCTGTTCTATTTAAGTGAAATATCGATACTAATGCTACAGTCAAATAGTCATATCTCATCGATCCATTCAGTGCCAATCTGAAATATAGTATCGTTAGAAAGGGCATAACATGCGCCATTTGATGGAGAATTACAAGTTTGGTTTCTTGGAGTGGCAAGTGCACATATTGGTCACTGAAACCGGTCAAACCGTTCCGTCAAAGGAGATTTTGGTACTGTTGTATCAGTCAAATAGCCATATCTCCATAATCCGTTGAGTGCCAATTTCTAATTTGGAATCCTAAGAAAGGATATGACATGCGCTTTTGAATACATTACTGGAACGAAGAATTCTAGCGTTGGCAAGTGTCGCCTTTTAACACTGACCATGATGAAATCGTTCAGTCACGTGGAATTTATTGATTTATCTTTTAAGGATATTGTCTATAATCAATTTAAAGATGGCGATATTGCAATTAAAGTGACACCAGTATGAAGCTTCTATCTTAATTAAAAGAGACTTTATTGCAGTAACAGCTTCACAATTCCTGCAAGTATGGGCACAGGGAGCCAAAAATTAGCGCCCGTCATATGCATATACCAGGAGATTGGTAGGAGATATAAAAATTGGCTGAAATGCGTTTCTTTAAATCGATTCCTCTAAATGTATGGCTATTTTCGTCCAATTCGGTGCCGGTCGAACTTACGGTCTGGTCGAATTGTTGTGGAATGACCCAATGATAGCATACAGGATTCACAGCTCTGGCGTCCAGTACATAGAGAAGCCCTCTTGACTTCTAATGACGGTAGAAATACAACGTTATGTACTTTCAACTATTATCAATCAGAAACGGTTCTTGCAAGAGGAGAATGACCCCAAGCACAGTCGAAAATCAGTCGCAAGTGTCCCTCATCGCCTCTCTGTTGTCATGGAAAGCCAAGGGGACCTCACTATGTACTAACTGCCAGCACTACAAATCCTGTATTTAGCCTTGTAGCCAGATGTTTCCATTGTTTCTACGCGGAAATAAACCCCTTCAGTTTTATTAGCATACATGTAATTTTTCTCCACGGTTAGTATGGAATCGTGGAAGAATTGAAGTATTCCTGACGATTGGTGTCTTTATCATCCAGCTGAAAAGAAAATGGTGCGAGGAGAGTATGAACCTGTAGAAGCAGCGCTTCATGAAACCCACTCAAACGTTCCAAGGACTGAACCTGAGCTGGTAGGTATTTTATTTCAGTATGCTTTTTTCTGATATCGTACATTTGAAGGATAAGAGTATGAACTGGTTTTTGAAGTCTTACAATGAAATAATAAGGCCATATGCAATAAGGAAATCCAGAATCGCCAGTCACCTCTGTAGTGTTTTCAATAAGAATTTAATGTGTCAGAGGAAATACCAGGTGTAAGATCCTGGAACCTGCTGTTTTTTTATGTCATGTGTACCAGGAAATCTGATTCAGAGGCAATTGAGAAGATTTTTTTTTTATATATCTGAAAAGTCCAAATAAATTAAAATGAAATATCTCATTTTGAGTTTGGAAGCCTTGGGACTCGCCTTTCACAATATTCTATTGCATTAGGTTTCAAATGATTCTTTAAATTATGAAGACCCTGGATCGCCCTTGGTCCAAAATGGCGCAATACATGGGGTGCACTTCGATAAAGAACTTCTCCCACTTCGCTGAAAGCACATATAACTGGAAATAACTGAGTCTGGCAAAATGGCAAAACAATACCAATCGAGAAAAATGAAAACTAGAACCAGTGAGGAGAGCTTCCTGGATTTAATTTTTTTAGAAACGGAAATGGTTCTGGTGAAATATTTGTGAGGTAAAGCAGAAATCTCTATGTCTTCCAAAAGAATGCTACACATGTTGAGTACCGATTTTTACATTCTCATTGTATTTACTGGTTTTATAGCAATGGTATTTGATCGCTGGCTCAACAAACTCCTCACCCCTAAAGTTCGTATCCCCTCCTTTACATCAAACTCCTTAGAATAGTTGCATTGGCTTCTCGTCTGTTGCCTTTGACCTACTACTCCGGTTTCGATCACGAACTCATCTAAGTTTCATCTGTAAATGACGCCTGACATTTTTACTCCATTAGCTGATTGAAGAAACACAGAAATGCGTAACTTGCAAGACATGGTCATCATTGGGGAAATTGATAGTCTATCAGAGAAGAGGAAACTTGGACATTCGCGATTATCTGAAAATATACATGGGAGCAAACCGTGGAAAGCCGCTGAAGGAGGCAGCAGGCGAATACGTGCGACAACACTACCCCAACGCTTATACGAGAGCGTATTCCCTTCCGGAGGGATACATATTAAATCCAAAAGAATTCAAGAAGATAGAGGAAAAGGCAAGGAAATACGAGAACGTGGAAATGCCAACTGACAATCGTTCCGTCGCGATGATGTTTAACTGCCTGAAAGATGCATTCAAACATGTACCATCCCTCACACTAGCGGACTACGCTTTCACGGACACCTTGCTCAAGGGAATCAATAAAAAGCAAAAAGAGAAATTCATAAAAGACTTCGGAGTGCCAAAGGAAGATCTGGAGCCTGGGGATCATGATGTTTTCGGAGTTGGAATTTCTGGCAACGATATTGTGGGGATGTTTTTCCAAGTCAAGAAAACACCATCCAATGTCAACCCGAAAACAGTAATTGATTCTTTTGCTAAAGCCACCAGACAAGTGAATAAGGATATGAACATTTTTCGCACAATGTGCGGTGAATTTCTGAGTGAGAGGGTAAAGTTAGCTGGTTTTCCAGCTCTCCCCATGCTTTCACAGTCTGACTTGCTGGAACTCAGCTTAACATGCACAACTCTCAAATGCAAAAGTTGCAGAGAACGAATTCTCACAGCGGAGGATCTGGAAAGCTCAGCCAGTTTCAAAGCTTTTTTGACCAGACACGGGATCGTGTTGCAAGACTCGTGGTGCCAGGAGCTTGATTCTCCTGTCATGAAAACCTTCAAGGAGATATTTGATCTCTATGTTTGCGCTGCATCGGCTGTGGACCTCCCACGCAACCCAATTCAGTTGCATGCCAAAAGTGAAGAGCAAATGCAGAAGATGCTGGTGATTCTCACTCCACAACAAAGGGAACTAGTGAAAAGTGAATCCAAGGTCGTCCTCTTGTCTGGACTTTCAGGCACAGGAAAGACTTTCGTCTTGAAGGAAAGGGCATTGCTTTTGGCAGAGAAGGGTGACGTTTTGGTGATTAATATCGCTGGAGGGCACCTTACCAACGAATTTCGACAGGATTTTCAAGGTGGGACAAAACTCCTCATCTTGAAGGAATTTTCGGAATCTTAACTCTAAATTAACATGTTAGAAACTTGATACAAGTTCGGACTATTGATTCATCATACATGAACATTATTTATTTCTCATCTTGTGGTTAGCATTAACCTGATAGGAAATTCTTTAGCTTTTCTAAACATCTGGAAAATTTGGGCTTTATAAATGCCCTTAATAAATCCCTTCATGAAGCCAGACTTACTGAGAAAAGATAAAACTGCTTCTGCATCCTCGGTGGATGTATGTATATACTGGGATCTTGAGTAATTTTCTTGCAGATGGGTTGCAATCCTGAACAAAACCAGACAGAGATGAATGATTCAAGTGTTCTTTTTTCACAGAAACTGGGCATTAAACTTAATGACTAGTCATTGTAGATACTGTGGGATCGAATACTGAATGAACGTATTGGGACTAATGTCCGCACTATCAAGTATTGTTTCTCTATATCGGGGAATCATGCGACAACTCAAGTTGTTCCTTCGAATCACTGTCAGATGGCTTGCCTGCTACCCTGATCAAGTAGCGTTGCATTTGAATTGCTTAAATTAAGCGTTAAACGTATGTATTCAGAAACGGCGTGAAAGATTTGGTGATCGAACTGCACATTCTCGGACCTCCCAAAATCTGTCAAAAATGGGTAGGGGAAAAGTGCGCCGTTTGTTTAGGATTTTCATTGTGTTATTAAGGTTCGAGTTCTTTTGAAGGACGAATTATTTATATGCTAAGTAACATGACTTTCTTTCCTATTCCGACACTAGAAAAAGGGGACATCGAAGTAGTTGATGGGAGAATGGAGGGACTCGAGGAAAGTATTGACAAATTGAAGAGATTCCTGGAAGAGAAAGGACAAGGAAAGCATATCTTGGTTGATGAAGTCCCCATTACTTTAGGTTTCCTGGATATCATCGCCCCAGAAGCCATTTCTAATCATTGGGCATGGATTGCAGACTTGAGAAGTACTGTGAAATCCGTTACAATCAGTTTCAGACCCAATGATCAGTCTTACACAAGGGATTTCCTCCTCGAAGAGGTTAAACCAGCTGGATATAACATTACTGTCCTCGACACTGTGAAAAGGAATACCGAGCATATATCAAAATTGTTTTTGGCCATTGGGGATTTCTCAAGGCGAGTTTTTGTATCGTCTCAGCGCTCTTTTAAAATGGATTGGTGCGAGCCGGCAGGAGAATACCTTCCTTGCTTCATTGTGATGACCTCCTGTCAGGCTCTCCATCGGAATTGCCGAAATAAACTCATTTGTGAGGTCGTGAGGGCATCGTACGCCATTCATGAGGAATCCTCGAATCTATCAAAGAGGATGCCTGTCTTCATCGTCGTCGATGATGAGTGGCGAAGAAATGTTTTCGTGAACATTTTCACTTTCTTGTACCCACAGTTCCGTCTTATGTTTAGTGTCAACTCCAACAAATTCCGTGAGAAACCTACCCTTTTGGACTCGTTTCCCCTCATCGTCGTCACTGAGGTGGAAATGATGGGTTGTCACCCAAAGAACGTGTCCTTTGTCCTAGATTTTCCCCGATCACAATGGCAAAACTACTGTCGATTGATAGCGACCACTGGAGAAAATAAAATCCTTGTAATCGAGGAAGAAGAGTGGAGGATGGGAAAATTCTCTTTCGTTTCAAATGACATCGCTGGAAAGAAGACGAAAAAGGGAAGCGGGGATCCAAGAGATCTCAATGCAAGCCTAGAGATGGTATGGCAAGAGTACAAAGAAAAAGACATCCAGCAACTAGATGTGTACCATTTATCCGTGGAATCGTTCCCGGAAGTGGACTTGCATACAAGTGGGAGGGATGAAGAGGAAGATGCTGATGTGGAGAAAATGTTGAAATCTAGGTTCAGCCTGATATTTGGGTACCCAGTTTCTGGAAAATCTCGGAGAATTGATCTCCTGATCGGACGCATTTCGGGGCGAGTCTTAATTCTCCAATCCGGCAGTCTTATGTCTCGCCAAATCCAAAGACAGCACTGGAGCGCGAAGTCGAATTTGGATCTTGTTCGAGCACAGAAAATCGAGTCTCTCCAGGACATCTTTGACAATGTGGAAAGAGCTCATAAGGAGAAAGAGAGAAAAATAAAAGAGCTGAGGAAAAAAGAAGAGAGGGAAGGAAAGGTGAGAAAAAGGGAAAATGAGGAGGAAGGAGAAATGGAGGAGTCAGGTGTCTTGGTTGTGGTGGTCGATGACTGCCCTTTGTTCAGCGATTTTTCAGGAACCATTGAGAAATTAAACGAGATGAGGGTGAAGCTCATCCTCGCTTTCAAACCCCATTCCGAAAACATGTCAGAATTTGCACTGAGTGAAACGCTAAAACTGCTGGAATATCAGCAAGACTGCACAGTGATAGTCATTCAATCTCAACCGACCACCATGGCTTTTATGAAGCACATCCGGGAAAACGAAACTCCTAATGCGCTAAATTTGGATGCAAAGAATCTATCCTTGTCTGCCAAGCCCGCTACCATCGTCCCAGGACCATCCGTTCAATATATTGACTTCAAAACAGATAAATGCTCTGGAAGACATTTGGGATATATATGCTATGGCGATAGCACCTGCGGAAACACTGCAACCTTTCTATCATCCCTCATCAAATCAGACTTTTTCAAGGGGAAAAGCGAATATGACTTGCCTCACATCCTAGTATCGCACGAAGGCCAGGTAACACTACTGCGAGAGAAATTCAGAGATACTTTGCCTGATGTCAAAATAGAACACCTCCAAGAATTTCGTGGGTGTGAGGCTTCAGTGGTCATTTCACTGAATGTGAGCGACGACTGGCTGCTGGAAGTTATTTCCCGCTCGAGAACTCAGCTCATCGTCATCGATAACCTTATAAACCACGAACATCTGTGGGCAACGATGAAGCAAGAAGGACGTGTGGAGGCCATCTTATGTTCCCCGGACACTGAAGACGACATAAGCACCCTCCTCAGATTAGATGATCAGGAAGTATTTCTCGAGGTAAATTCTTATTTATTCAAGAAGGATTCAGGACCTTGAACATAGCCATTTAATCATTAGAATTTTCTGTATTCAGGGAATTTTCCTGTCATGGGGAGGTGAACTTTGACATGATTGCGATTTAGAGGATGTGTATGTTTAGCTATGCCATCACTGCATTCCCTTTGTTTCGAAGTGTGCATATCAAATTATAAATATGATATATATTTTTTCATTCAGTTCAATGGGTAATTTCCCCTGGCTTACTATGTGTGATGAAATTATACCTGCAGCGTTGGAATCATGGAAACGAATATCGCACGCATTATTCTAAATTTGATGACCCAGCAAGCATTAACTGCATTTTCACGATTCCCCAATGTATGATGTAAACACTGCATGAACACAAATTTGGATTATGTTCAATAAAGTAGACGCGCGAAACATGCTATTAAAACATACAATGCAAAAAAAATTTGTTTCCTGAATATTTTACTCAGACCCATGGATATGTGAGCCCGAGGATTTCGTTTCTACCCACACCGCCTTTGATCTGTTGAGCTGAAGTAAGGAAGCCATTTGACGTATGCCTCCTGACGACAGAATTATAGAGCGTGTGTACAATTTAAAAATTGATGACGAACATTTACTTAATGAAGAGAGGCTCACACTGAGACATTGCCTGAAGCATTTCTTAACATTGAATTTACTTTTGCATCTTCATGATTCTTGAATTCCTGGCGATGCATCTTTGAAGGGGTGAATAAGAAGAGGGTAGATAGGAAATATAAGACAGGGGGAATAAGAAAGTGAATAGGAAGAGATTAATTTCTCCAGCATTCACGTTTATGTTCTCCATATTGCAGTGTCCATCCTGGGATGAGGTGGGGATTCGCATTGGCGAAGAGGCGTTGAGAAGACAAGGAGTCTTGGATGACAACACTGGTGCCATCCTCCCTCTCTCTCCAGCGACGTGGCAAGCTATAAATTCAGACCTTTCCCCCACTTCATCATCTCCTTTTGCAGATTGGGGGTATACATGGTCGGGTCAGTGGGAGGTTTCTGAAAAATGTAATACTTCTTTGGTTATTATGTCGTGGAAGCTCATACAATTGAATGGCTGAAGAAGGCCGCTTTGTGGCCTTTGTGTCTAAAACCAACTTCCATTCATCCCATTATCAAGTCAATTTTTCTAATTGAGCTTGGATTCAATTACTATTTACCGACCTTCTCCTACTATTCCCATGTATTGAATACTATGCTTTCACGTTTCAGTCAAGCGTCTTATGTTCACTAAAAATTTGGAATGTCTAATATTTGTTGCAGGAGAGTAAGTCATGAGGAATGATACTCTGGGAAACTAAAGCATTCTGACTGAAGCATCCCAATTACTAGGTTTAAAAATAGATTAGCGGGAAATCTGGAATTAATGTTTCGCACATTCATATCGCATATTGAAAGTGCATCAAATGTATAGAACTTATACTTTTTCGTAAGCATGATACTCAAAGTATATTTCATCCATGCAGTTATGAAGCTTAGCCAATCATTTTAACATGTCGCTGGATGGGTTACCGCTCTGACTGGGGATATTTCAGTGCATCATGGCATTCTTGTTCAGCATTTCACTGCCATATCCTGATGGTTGAGATGCTCATTCGTGGCTATGTTCTACTTTGGAATGGAAACTGAATTTAATTTTTAAACGAATCATATTCATATTGACCGGGAAATTCTCACAGTGATTCCGACGAAAAAAAGGGTCAGAAATTATTTCGGTTTTTCAAAACGGGAGGGGGAAAGTTCAAAATCATGAGACTATCCTGGAAATTCATGCTTTCACCACGTCTGAGCATTGACTGGTTTGCTTTAAACATAATTCATGAATCAACATCTTCATAACACAGGAACTAGTGAAATGTGCATCATAAAGGAAGGTTGAGTGAAAAAAAAGTTGGCTGCCTGCAATTTTTTTTTACAAAGTTAATGGTCAATAATGGGCAAATTAACCATCAATGTGTTACACTTAGTCCGGATATGAGTGAAGTTCACATGTGAAGTACGTAATATTATTCTTACCTGAATGCATGAAATTCATAATTGTGAATTAAGAACGATTGTAGTGCGATAATGAAGTAGTTGGAAGTTTAAGTAGGTTGAACCAGAGCAAGGTGTATTCCCTAAGAGCGACGTCATTGGCCATTTATGGCAATGCAACAAATAAATTCATGAATATTGAACTAAATAATGACAGAGAACCATATTAATTTCGCCAGATAATATCATTTCACAAAAAAGTATCCTGGAGACACTTGAGAGAGGTGGGAAAACTCGTTTCAGGTTTTTAAAATCATTTATGTGACGTCCGAATATATGAATGAGATGTGGCAATGGAAGTTGTTTGGGACGTTGACCATACTACAATTCCATTTATTACTTACTGTGATTTCAGATTTATCATAAAAGTTATATTTATAGAGCTTCACAAAAGCTTAACTCGATAAGTTCATATCCACACATATTCTCACGCAATGGATGGCGATCATGTGGATGCTTTCAATTTGAGAATGATAGTATGAGACCGACACGAAGAGGCAAACTGAAACATTGGCATTTTAAGTGGCTACTTTCATATTGGGAAATAATGCCCGTTTAAAATTGGCAATACTATTCTCTCCATCATTATATGCCTTTTTATGCCATTTTCTCTCTGCTCCTTAATCTTGTTTGTGTTATACTTAAGACCACCAATCGTAACATAAATCCTCACTTTCATCTGGCTATGCCCAATGGGATCAATCCATCAACAGTGAAAATGACTAATCCTGGTAGTTCTATTTAATTTTGGTCTCAAGTGTCAATAAGGAAATTGGAAATATGATGATATGATAATGCAACTTTTTTTTCCAACCATGTTCTCCTCTCAAGATTATTGAATAATATGAAGTTCTCCTTTTGATATGATGACATAGCTTCTGCCCAGCATTGCATGATTCAATATCAGTCATTCTCTTTTTCTTTCTCGCCTTACATTCACCCTTTTCTCTCTTACTAGGAATGAAAGAGGAAGTGCCTTGTGTTGATGAGGACAGGAGGAGTAGAATCCTTGACATTCTAAGGCAAAAGGGCGTTGAATGGGAGGAAGAAGATGCCTCACCAACTCCCTTAGAGACAAGACGAATTCGGAGTGGGTCGGGATTGCTGGAGTCACTTTCTCTTTCTCTCATGGGATCATTGCTTTATCTCCCTCTCCTTCAGGTCATACAATTACTTATTTAGTTCATACTCCCTGGCCAATTTTACAGAGTTCTCAAGCCTTCAAGTGCAGGGCGCAATTCCAGGGATGAAACATACATATTTCGAAGTAGATCATTATGTGGTTCGCATGTAAAAGAAATTATTTGCAAATTCCTGTGCTGCTATAATGAGTCGAAGACACATGACATATCACAATACACATGTGTCATATCGTGGTTGATTCAGATGTCCAGGGCACTTTTTCGGTCCCATTTTCATGATTTTCTTTTGATCCAACGAAACAGAGACGGAAATTTTAAACTTCCTTCAGAAGTACCTATTTGAGGGCTGAGTACAGGAAAAATCATACTTTTGAAATATGTCCCCTTAGCGCAAATTATGGGAGGGAAGTATTTCAAAATTATATTTTCCACCCTTACAAAATGGGATTCACAAGTATTTCAAGTTAGGCACACTAGAAATCATATAAGTAATGATTTTGATAAAAATCAAGACTTTCGTCCCCATTTGTCACATATTTCAATGGGGACGTACTTTAAATAAGTGTTTGGCATTTCGCAAAAAAAATGAATTAATCACTATCCCAGGTAATTGAGCGCCGAAGACGCGACCATTGCGAGTTTGTTTGCAATTTGGCAAACAAACTAGCTAATTAGTTATAAATATTTTGCAATTTCATGGAAATAAAAGTTATTTACATATGCATTCGTAGAATGAATATATTTTAGATACTCTATATTACTTCGCATATTGTAATTTCCTTATTCCACATAGATGAGGCTGGGGCAGGAAGATCTGATGGACCCCCTTCCCCAAATCCAATCGGCGTCAGACCTTCTGAAGAGGCCCATTATCCTGATTGGGGAAAGGAATTCCTGTAAGTGGAAGTCTTATTTTGTGGTACTTCGAAAATATTAGTACATTAAAACGAATGCATGAAGATGGATGTCACCTTAGTTCTTCATATTTCACGAATTTTGTGACACACATATTGTTTCCAATAAGTTTTTGGTACTCATATATCATATGAAGACCCTTAGAAACTGAGCGTCATCCCTTGAATCAGTTTTGAACAAAGGTGTCCCCAACCTGCTCTCACTTGATTGAGTTCCATCTACTTTTGGAATGAGACACCGAAGGTTTTTGCAGCAGCGAGTTCTCTATACCAGATTGCTGTCAATCATGTAGCACAGTTGGCAAGTTGGGTTGGTGTCATCCCCTTGTTAGGTCCTTTAGCTAAAATTCAATATAGTGTTATATGCTGTGTAGGGATGCATCTTTGTGGTTTTGATTGGAACTTTAAGTGGGTCTATTCAGGAACATTTACTGATAATATCGGTAGCAAAATGGTGGAAGTGTCTGCCCTAGCAATGCTACAGTAACGACATAAACTGTCCTAATGTTTAAAACTTCTGACTTTGTGTTGCTGTAACTCTCCAACTAAGTGTGGTATCTGAAACACAAGACCCGTTTAGGTAGCAATGGTTATTATATGTTAATAGACACGAGCTGATGGTTAATTGATTCGCTATGTCTTGAGCGTGAGAGGTGAAGATCTAAATGAAGCTCACCAATTATGACAGTTTCAGTCTCTTTTAGTTTCTAATCATCTCTAATACATTCCCCTTGGTTTATTTCAAGTATTTAGCGTTGCCGTAACTATCCTGGATATGATTTCAATGGGTTTGACACACCCTACCTTGTGAATGATACTCCATTTGACATTAACTTGTGACTACAACTCGCGCATGCACCTAGGCCTTGTCTCACGTTCATTGAGGCTCCCCTTCGAATTATCCCTCAAGTTATTGATGGGATTAGAGTAATTGCGATTGTAGCAAATAAGAAAAAGTTCAGTTCTGCCTCCCATGCTTTATATAATGCGAGGAAAAGTTTGATGTGCTTTGAAGCCAACCTATCTTGCTTTGGTAAGTTTCAGTATTCCCCAAAGCTTATGCCCCACAATAAGTTAACGTCATGGAATTAATAAATGCACGCTGTGCATGAAAAAATAATGAATGCTGACTGATAATTCCCAATAATATTGAGGAATCGCTCTAATCAGACCTGAAGGAAAAATAGCAGATAACATTAAAAAATATTGTCGACATCAATGTGAGAAGAAAGTCACTTGGTGAGAGGCATTTAAGACTTCTGGCTTAATGACTTTTTGCAATAAAGTTGCGATAAAGAGCACTCCTAGGACATTTCTGTAACTTGTTCCTATGAATATATAAGTGGACTTGTGCGAATGTGACTTTCTAGGGGCCTTTTTCCCCCAAGAAGAAGGACGTATTGACTGGATGGGGATTCTCTTGGTCTGGGAGGAATCCATTTCGACAAATGCCGAATTCATTCCAGTTGTCCATCATCTGGATCGTCGGTATCGCCAGAACCGTTTAAATCGCCTTGATCAGCAGTTTCGTTTGGATCGACTGTATCGTAAGGATCGCCTGTATCGACTAGATCGTTTATATCTCCAAGATCACATGGATCGCCTGAATCGCCTGTATCGTCAGGATCGCCCTAACCGACAGGATCGCCTAGATTGTATGAATCGTTTGGATCACCAGTTCCATAAAGATCGTCAAGATCATCTGCTTCTCTATCAAGGTTTCATAATTTCGCCATGCACATTTCGCTACTGAAGACTAATATGACATCTGATGCTATGTTTGACAAGTTTATAGGCAAGTGTTTCTTTAACGTATGGCCCAAACTCATGGCCTTAGGTGAGAGTAGTGTGATTACTACTTCATGAATTGTCTAGTTCTTGAAAGTGTATGAATTGTCCAACTCTAGAGAATAGACAACTAATGAGAATTAGTTGTTGATCCCTCTTCCCCAATATGAATCACCACCGAACCAAAGCCCGTGTTTGTAAATGTTTTCAAAATATCGAAATTGGTTGAGCTTACCGTGTCGAGCGCACTCCCTAGGATTACTTGAGGATTTCAATCTGGATTTTGGGGAATTGAAATTCCTTATGGTTTCTATATTTCTGATATGACTATTGAGGATTCCATGAATACTTTCGATTTATTTAGTCCAATGGAAGAGTGTCATTACCATGTTCCAAAAATAATTTGAACGCTGGAGTTAATTCGTTAGAGGGACAGCAACTCATAATTTGCGCGCCTTTTGCGCTCGATCATGTGAGATAAGCAATATTTTTCGAAAGACGCGGAACCATCTGGATCGGTTTGGTTACAGCATCATAATCGTTATTTACTTACATTTCAGTTAAATATGTAATATATTTCCCAATATAAAGAGGGAATAAATATGAAATTAGTATACTTGATCCAATATATGGACCAGATTCATGCCCTTGACAACCATCATCATGCACTTATTGTTCTTCTGCACCATTCTTGTTCAAGAAAAAGCACCATGGATGGTAAAGGAGAAGCTGCCTCCAGTGTATGGAGCAGGCCAAGTACCATCCTCCCTGAAGAAAATATCATTTCGTGCACGTGTGGCTGTAGGCTGGGATTTGCACACAGTGCCCATTTTGTGGTCCTTGGACAGGCACATATTAGACCTGCAGCCCCTCAAACCAGGTATTACACATTTCCTAGCAAGGGTTACTTCATATGGAGGAGAAAGCCACACAAGGAGCTCATTGTCATTGAAGCAGAAATATTTAAACCTTGATAACGAGAAGTGTCATACCTTTTAACAGTTCATTCCGTAAAGTATCAATGCTTGCATTATTATTGATGCTTCATCAAATGCTTTATGTTCAGATGAGAGCCAAAAACAATAAATTCTAAGGGAAATCAACCTGAGCCCTCACAAAGAATATGCATAGATGTCCTTTTGCTTTGCCAGATGATAGTTTTCATCACGTTCATGTAGGATGCAATACCGAAGGAATTCAAATTATATGAAACCCCTAGAGTAGACAGAATTAAAATGTAACTCTTATTTCCTTTCCAGGCCCTACTTATGTCTGTAATCAACTTGGAATATGCTTAATTACTTGAAGTATTTGAGAGGACTTGAATGAAGCCATTGTACCCCATATTAGGTTCAACCACTAAATTTAAAATAAATATATAAAAAGCGCCGGGTGACATTCCCATGCATGGTTTTTGAGAAGGAGTTTCAATGTACGTGTAATTCATGTGTTGTAGACTAACTTCCTGCTCTGCATACTACTCCCTTTCAAGTCACATGTCCTCTGTCCTTACAGATGAACTGCTACTGCGCTTATGGTGACGCGTGGAGAAAACTTCCTCCCCATATGTATTTCGAAAAAAAATTCTTAGAAAAAGTTTGTGGTTGGTGCATATTCTTGTTCTGTGTGGTCAGCAATTTCTGTCAGATATGTTTATGTGCCTTACATTTTATATGTGAAAATTGATATTTGTTGATCGACACTGAAAACTGACTTTTTCCAATGAATCTCTCAACGTTGATGAACCACATCTCAGTTTTATTTTTGGACCAAGTCACGTCCGGAAATAAAACAGACCACTCGTTTTCCTTCATGGAATGAATCATACTGAGTTATATCAGCTTTTGAGTCCATCATCATGGTTAAAAAGATGCTTGAGAAGAAGCAAATATATTTTGTCACCAATAATTCATAATTGAAGAAATAATTGAATTAAATAATTAAAGAACATCACTGTTGTATTTTTTTTAGAAAGCCATTCTGAGAAAGGAATTTGGGCCTTTTCAAGGGTACAAAATAGAATTCAACCTATTTATTCAAAAATTGCCAGCGTTGGTCTATTCCATGTTAAATTATGCGATTTCATATTCTCTAGAGATTCACATATTTTTAGGTAAAACTTTCTAAGATGGCTTTTTACATTATTATGCCTTCTTGCAAAAACAATAATCTGATTCCTCTGCAATAACAAAATAAGAATCATCCGAATTCGCATGTTATTATGTACATAAGGAATGTGAAAGGAACAGATTCGGCAGATCTGCTTTCCATTTTCAGGGATTAGAGCTTTCCCCCTTGCGTCTACTAGAATCTGCAGGAGCTTGTCCATTTAAATTCCATAATTGTTTCAATATTGCCAAGGTAACGTCGATGTGCGAAGAGGAATTCACCTATTTTTGCGACCAAGCAGTGTTTACGGCCTGTCATCACATTTGTTACCTTTCAAAGTTAGGGAATCAATGACTGAAAATAATAGTACATGCATATGTTCCTATTTACCTGCACAATATGTCTCTTCATAACATGTATGAGTTCCCACCCCAGTAATATTATTATGCTAATCCTTGTCCACCCTCAGGAAGCAATGAAAACATTAACCGTGTTGATAGAATTTAACATTCGACCGAGGTAGTTATTCGAGATGATATGTCGTACTTGAAGTCAACGCACACCATGCTTCTAGAGGAGCTTCATGGTGGTCATGAAAATCTTAGAGTCGATATGAAAAAGGTCAATCTGCCACTCAGGCAGATTTGGAAAGGAATATCTCAGGAATATATCAGGAGACTGCAGCATAAGGAATTGGCTTTAATGATAGGATTGACCTGAATATCTAAATAGTCAGGATGGAAAGCGGTCTCCTATTGGCGAAGGATGTGTCTGTTAAATCGACAAGCATCCTGCGGGGAATTTATCAAGTGTCGTATAATGTGGTAACAGGAGGAAATTTGAATTGCGTATTACGACTACAACATGCCATTACTTTTCAGTGATAGCAGGTTGTAGTGCTATCACTTTGACTCTGGAGTCTAAGAGGAATCCGTGTCATGAAGAAAATCACAGATCAGCTGACTTTGACATACACGAAGCAGTACCAGGTAATGATGTCAGTTTCTTCAAAATTATTCGATTGTGATCAATAGCTGCAATATTTATTTCACTTGGACTTCTGCTGCTGCAGGTAGCAAGATTGTTAAACTCTGTCGAAATTGTGGTCTGACGCTTCAGGAAGAGGAGTTGGCTTGGAGCGCTGCGGGCCCATCTTAAAAACACTAAGTTATTCAGAGAAGCACATTATCTGCAAGCAAGGCTAGTTTCTTGAGAATGCGATTAAAAAGCACCTGTAGGTAATTCACAAGTCCCCTCTCACGTCATTGACTTGCTAGCAACAAATAATCCCGAAATTCACACCGATGTATGTGGAGGAGGACGTTGCAAATCAATCACCTTATGAAGAAATAACCGTCCAAGGCGACCAAGAAAGTTGATGCCTCGGTTAGGACCTCAACTGAATGCACACAGCCCCGACGGACGACAATGGATCAAACCAGAAACGTACGATGCTGGTCGGCCGTTTGGTGACTCATGATCGACCTACCTACTTGCCTTTATTATCGCCTATTTTCTTTCATTTTTTTTCATATTTCGATTTCGTCCAGAAATAGCTGCATAAATGTATGCATGGAAGTGAGAGGTGTGAATCCCACTAATCGCCCTAAAGAATCACCAGGACGTTGCTCGTAAATACGGAGTCGAAGAACCGAATGACGTCGGAGAATATCGGTAAAGGTGAGCAATTCACTGGATAGGACGACGCCTATCAAATTTCCTGAAGACCAAAGAAAGACCTGAGGACCAACGAGGGTGGCTTCACCACGAATACCATATTCTTCAGAGACCTTGGTTGCTTGTGTTGAATTCATCAACAGATACATGGGCCTGATGCAAGCAAGGAAAATGACAAATAGACCCGGATAAGATCGATCTACGCCTAAACTTTTTCAAGGACATGATGCCCACTTGACAAAATGGCACCTTCCTTTTGTCGCCTACCTCGTCCTAATTTGCTTCCAGCATTACCTCACCTTTCTCTTTCCGTTTTCATCTCCATCCTACCCGTATTTTATTGGTGGGGTTCAATTTTCATTTATGCTCACGTCCAATTAATTTGAAATTCTCAATGAACGACCTAACCAAGTGTAATTGTCACTAGCGGTAACGATATTTAAAGACGGGTGAGCTGAGTTCCTCTGTCGTCAAAAAGGAATTGCAGAGAACATGAGAATGAGCTTCCTGCATTCATGCTATTTCCGTCGATGCTGTTGCTTGTTGCGTTATTAACTGTTCAGTATTACCCATCTGGTCCTACTAAATCTTGCATAACTCAATTTTACTCTTCTCTTCCATTCCCAAATATAAATTCTCAAATTTATTTTTTCCTGATGAAGCCCCTCGAGCGAATGGGAAAAGGAGTAAAGATTCATTGAGATTATTCAAAAGAAAGGAATGTACTGGAAGAACAAACACCCTGGGCCCCTTGAGACAAAAATTGGAGATAAATATTCTGATTTCTTGGAAGCCCCATTTATCATCTTCAAAAGATCACTCATTCACCTCCACCTCCTAAAGGTCTCTTGCCCTGCCTCATTTATACATTTATGCTCCTTTATTTTTTTCATTTATTCATCTTCCTCAAATTGTAAAGACTACAGTCCATGTGAATGGTTTCTGAGGCGATGCTAAAAAAATCGGCAAATAACACTGAAGTCATGACACATGTATTGGAGACCGGTGAAGTATTTATTTCCCCCATAACAATTCACCCTCGTGCATTTCTGTTTCTGAAATGAAAGCGCCTTCAGCGCAAGTGCACCGAATGAACTCCACAACATTGACTTTGATGAGAGAAGGTAGGAGTGCTGAAGTAGGTGTGGACACTTCCATGTGCCACTTGATGAATTTAAAATAATTAAATATGCACGATGCGGTTTTGAAGTGCGTTTCCCAATTAAAAGGTTAGTAGCAAACAATGTACTGTTGGTTTGGAAGTTAAGAGAGATGTAGCGAACGATGTGACAGGAAACACAATTTAAAATCTCGAAAAAAAAATTATTAAATACCGTCTGTGAGTGGATTAGTTTTAAGTGGCATGCATGCCGATCTATAATATCCATTTCATGCATAGAGTGATTAGAACAATTGTGGCACGTAACATCACTTTCGGAGTTCCTTGCACCTACTCTCCCCCCATTTTTCACTCACCAGGAATGCAATTTGTATTAATGTGACTTCTTTAATAATCTCATCTACAGCGATGGCCAAAGCATACCTCCTTCTTCTTGGCCAAAATTAGGCGATGGGTGCATTAACATCCTCATTGTGGTATTGCTGGCCGATGTTTCTAGCATCACTCAAATCATTTCCTACATCACAAGCAATACTTATGACGTTTTGTAATAAAATTAATGTTTTTTCCCTTTTTCTTTTCACAGTGAGAGCTTGAAAATGATTTGAAGCTTTGGATAGGTTCGTCAGGTAAACGATAACATGGGGGAATATCTGCTTATATTTTGTTAATTTTAAGACATGTGAAGTTAGGCGGGGAGAGGTGATGCCCTTTCAAGGTAACATTCTTTGAGAAAGACTGCTGTACATTATAGATATGCATTTGCTTAGGTGACAGTTCGCAGTTCCAACTTTGGGATACGCAAAATTTAAGATTTGTCATTGAGTTGCTGCTATCAGCAAGTACCCACCTTTAAATATGTGGAGGTATACAAACATTGTTAGAAACGAACCCCAGAAATGGGAACAAAATTAGATTCACCTTTCAAAAATATGTTATTGATATAGCTCTGGTAAAAAAAAAGTTACCGGTCCCACAAAGCAGCAGAAAGCACCTACCCACGTGAACCTTATTGCAAAACAGACGGCATAAGTGTAGTTCGAGATCGTATGCCGACCGAAAATGCCGCCTTATGTGCCGACCGAAACGCCGCGCTGCTACTGCTCGGAGGCAGGCGAGTGAATGAAGCTGGCTGCGTCTCCGCCACTGCTACTGGTTCTCGACAAACCCTCTCTGCTCGAACGATGAACGATTCGAATATTGACAGCTCCGGCCTGGGTCAGCAAGGGGACGCCATCGCCTAATCCAGAGGTACTCAAACTTTTCAAACTGCGCCATGGCTCGGCATCGTACCCCGGCATTCCTCTAAATGGAGCTCACTTATACATGGAACTTACCCAGAGGATGCAATTTTCATACGATGATTGGAAAAAAATATGAAACTGTAAAGGATTGGGGAACGGCTCACAGCTCGGAATCGAATCATCATTCGCTTAATTTAATGAGACTTTATTTGAATATTTACCTCGACGGAACAATACAACCTTCGAAGAACTCTCGTGCTCGTCGGTTTCTTTGTGTCATTTGTGAGCGCTTTCCAAGGACTGAAGGTGATGCAAGCAACAACAGAAGAGCATGTCATTCTGATATTCATGTGAGATTTTGAGAGATACACTCACACGGGGAAACTACGGTGATGAACTTCTTTGAGGAGCCCGCGTGAAAGTAAGTGGCAACGAACTGACGAAATGTCCTGAATGTCATCATAAACGCTTGAAATTTCCAGATTCCCGGCTGCAGGGGGGAGGCACTACAGTGAGCAATGCCACCATTCCCTTTTGAGTATCGCGGCACCACCCGTTTCCTCGTGTATCCGAAAGATGGCGATACAAGTACGAATTTGTGATTATTCATGAAAGTTGCCTCCCCTCACTATCTAATGGCAATGTGCATATTTCATTTCGAAAAGTCAATTCCTCTTATGATAACGAAGAGCGTTGTCGAAACCGCAAGTTCATTTCTCGAAGCGGTTTGCCTGTGGAGCTCTCACAATCATAATTTTCGCTCGGCCTAGCTAGCCGTTGTGGCTTCTGGTGCATTTCTAGATGTTGCTCCTTTCGCAAATAATATTATATGGCAATTACAGATATGTTGGCCATAGGAACATGTAACCACCAACCAATTTCGGGGCACCGAAGCCGGATTCCACTTTTAAAAAACCTGAGAGGAAGATATGGAGTTCCCCTTAACCCTCTACAATCATTGTTTTTTTGTTTTCATTGTGTAACTGGTTTCGTGGGATCAAATTGAATACAAATCTCAATAAAATGTAAATATTTCAGAGATGAATTGTCATTCATGACAGTTTCCTGGCTACTTTCTCTGCAGCGATACAGTAATGTGGAGGTATATTCCCAGGATTGAGCCTGACGTTTCCATGATTGCCAAATTATGTTTTTGCAATTGGAGCAGTATATGCAAATGTACTTAAAACCGCATGGTGCTAAAATTCAATAAGGAGGCATCCTCTAGCAAGGGTATGGCACACCTTGTGTATCCGTCGCATTTGACTTTCCTTTGTCGAACAAGCCTTTCCATAAAAATCTGCCATCCACCAAAGTTATTTCACTAGGAAAACTAATCAAATACGAGTTAATAAGGTGGACTATTTTTTTCTCGTCAGGTATCGCTCTTAGTTCCTAGTCTTGGATCAATTCCACTCATGTGCGTCATTTCCCGCCCGCTTCAGGCAATACCTGGAATATTCAAATTTCGGATATGCAAATTTGTTAACGACAATAACATTTCATGAACGATACCATGTACACTACACAGGGGTAACATGGGATCTGGTATATCTCATGCACTGAGAGAAAGGTTCTTTAAGGATGTTCTCAATAGTATGAGACTTTATTATACCATGGTAGTTATGAGGCAAAAAAATATAAGGTATTCAGGATGCTCGTACTTCGTCTACGATAGCGGATATTACGATTTTTTTAACAGCATATATTAATCACCCACAGACGTCAATCATATGCCTTTTTAATATGGTGCAATCCTATAACTGCACCCGAGTTTTGTCGCACTCAGAAAATGTGTGTTTATCCTGAGGCATGAGGCGAGGAAATAATGCCATATAACCTTCAGTATATCCGCTATCTCCCCTCTACACAGTACGACCTGAGTAATCAATACTATCGCTCTTGGAATTCGTGCTCTTTGATTTTCCGATTTTCTTCCACATAAGCAAGAAGGAGAACTGTTTAATGTCAATACGCATCATTTATAGAACGATTTGTGCAGGGAAAGTGGATGCAGCTAAAAGGGTATCACAGTGAAATGACAAAGTTAACTGACGCATGCAAATAAATTGTCCGCCTTGAAATGTTGGCAGTCATTTGCCTGACGCAGAAGATGA